TATTTGATGTAACTTTCGATTGCTTATAACTTGAGAATATGAATATTTTTATCAATTTTTGTGTTTGTTTCATTTTCTAAAATATAACAACTTATACATATCATGATCTAACGATAAAATTGAATGAAATTTTCTAATTATACGTATAAATTATCATATTTGTTATCAAATAATAGATTTTTCAATTACTTAAAATAATCAAATGAATTTATTTTTTATTTTATTCGAAATAGATAATTATTTTTCGCTTCTTTTTGAATCCTTTAATGAAATTTCGCAGAGGGCGAAGTTTGGCCACGAATATGGTTACAATGGTAATATTAATAATAGGAATAACAACGTGCAAGGACCGTATCGATAACCCCGTGCAGAGCGGTCGAGCATTATCATAAATTTGAACGTCCACGCATTCCTCTTCTTGCATATACGGTTTGGGCCCCCTAAGTATTGGGCCACGATCGGTGTTCTTTCTTCGCTTAGCCTCACCTTCCTCACAGTCGAAACGTCTCTGCCCGCGACTGCAACCCCTTTTACGGCTTACTTTATGGCAAAGACTCAATTTGAACCCGGCAGTTGGTGCCCGTTCCCAGTGACTAATATACCGAGATGCACCGCGTGGGGTGTAGCCATGATACATGGTTCGCGATGCACTGCGTTCATGCCAGGTATCTTCTCTCGCCTCGAAGTGAGAGATCGTTCCTCCATTGATTCTTTAAGTTGTAAGTGGCTTGTTTCTTCCTGCTGCTATTTGATTAATTCGATTTTTGGCGAATTTTAAATTCGATCCTTCAAATGTGCATTCTTCGTAATTTTTTTGTATTCTTTCGATTTTTTACACAGAAAAAAAATCTGATAAAATTTGAGGATATTAATTATATTATTATATGAATATTTTAATAATATAAAGATAGTAACTTTAAAACTACAATATTAAATAATTATTTTTCAACATTTTTGGCTTTTTCATTTTTCATATTTAAAATTTGTAAAATGAAAATGCAAAATTTTGAAAAAATTCTCAAATATATGTCACGAAATTCATGAAATATCAAAATTTTTTTCAGAATTTTATTTGCCCGTGAAAATATCGCAAATCCGAATTTTTCCTGTAACTCCCCTTCCACTTCACTTATAAACTTTTTATGAGGTTCTCTCTTTTATATGAAGTTAATTATTGTATGGTCTGTCAGATTAATTCGATTCAAAAATATTTTCGATCATTTCTTCAATTATATTCCATTGTAAATCGTCAATAGACGACAGATGATCGTTTTATATGTTGGATGAATTGTGCAGATAGGATGTCAGTTAGAAGGTTCGACATTGTTCAAGGAGATAAAGTGTGCCATGTAGGCATATGGGAGGTCTTAATCGATCTAGTATCTGATCGTAAGTGTCGCGTTGCATTGGAACGCTTATTGATCGCTTATGAAATTAGTTTGATATGCTTGTTAGAGCAGCGTTTGTAATGTAGATCGTGACAAAGATAGTGTACGACTATGTTCGGGTTGCGTGCCTCATTCGAAGGGATTTAATGAACCAGTAGTTAATGACAACGAAATAATGCGTGGAACTACTGTAAAATTGTCGTGTCAATCTGAAATGTTTAATAACAGAAGTTTAAAATAAAAAATTCGGATATAAGAATGCCGATTATATAAATTAATAAGAGGATCGAATTAAGGAATATGTCATAAAATGATTATATTGAATAACAAAAGTAAATGAATCATTTTTTCATATTATTTCTTTCTTCTTATCATTTTGTTTTCATCAGTCAATTTATTTTATATAAATTATAATAAATTACTTTCACTATAATAGATTCTTTTCAATATTTATAATAATTTCCAATAATTATAGATTTATTAAGCTTAATGCAATTTAATTTATTATATAATATATAATAGCACTATCAAAATATAAAAATAATGAAACTTTATATTTTTGTTTATATAATATTAATTCAAAATAATCACATCATAATTTAGGAAATTAATTCAATTAATTTATGTTCTCTTTCTAGTCTTTTATAAGCTTGTCCTTAATATAGTAATTTGTTAAATTTTATATACGATTACCTTTTAAAATCTTTTAGCATTATATCATATATGTTTAAGATTAATCTAACAATTATATAATAATAATTTATACAATTATTTTATAAACTATAATAATATAAACAAAATTATGACTATTAATCCTATATTAAAATCATAAATCTTTTGCAAATATTGTACGTATTCCAGATATGATTAAGAACAAATATTTGATCAATCTTTGATTTTTTTTTTACTTATTCCTTGAAGAGCAGAAGAAAGTGCATTTTGCTCGAAATTTTCGTAAATTCCAACTGTCCCAAGACATTTTATTTTCAACTTCTCGCAAGAGCAAGAAAGTAAAGGCGACTATTCACCAATGTACGCAGAAGACTAAGAAGAGCACTACGTTGGACTTCGTTTTCCTTGCCATGGGACACCGCTCCGCGTTAACTTAACTACGCCGGATTACGGACACTATTTCATCGCATCGTGGACATCTTCAGACTCCATCGCCATTTTTTCCTTTATCTCTTTCTTTTTTTCTTATTGCACGATCCCTTGCAACGAGCTCTGGTCCTTTGACTACGTATCATCTTCATTTCTTATTTTCTATCTTTTTAGTATGATTTTGATGCTGTAACAATATAACTTTCTTGTATATTAAAAGTAATAAGATGATTTTTATTTTTAATAGAATTTTTTCTAGTATAAATTATAGTATAAAGTATAAATTATATATATTCTTTATTAGAAGTTATATTACAATATGAAAATTAGTATTTTATTAAAGTTTATCAAGTGACTGTAATAAATGTAATGTAAGACTTGTTATCTTTAGATTATTTGTCCCTACTCATTTCCTAATCTTTCTAAGTTCTTAACATAATTGTAAACAAGACAAAGAGATATTACTGGAAATTTTTAATGTCGTATATTTATCTTCATTATTTAAAATATTAATAAAATTAAAAACTTAATAAGTTGTAATCTATGACACTTATAGCCTTCTTATATATATAACTAATTTTTTTATAGATTTTATTTCAAACTAATTTAATAATAACTTAATTCAATAATAAATTCTTTAAATCTATTTAATCTAATGATATTTTATACTATAAACAAAATATAAAATCTTATAAATAGATCAATACAATCCTTTATCATCTTCATCATTTTCACTAAACATCTAACCTAAAATCTTCACTTTGAAAATCAATATATGTGTGTGTTAGAAGTATAATGAAATATCTTATAGGAAAACACAAACCTTCGTTTTTACCAAACTTAATGCATCTGCAATTCAATATGTTATGTAAACGTATTGAAAGGAAATGTCGAAAGAGAAATATAACAAGAAATGAAGCAGGGCCGAATCAAGTCTGCGTCCCTTTAGAAGTTTTCTTTTCAAGGTGAGGCTCGATATATCGAAGTCAAAAATCTGTAAGCCAGGTATGCAAAGCGTGTGCGTGATTAAAGCGAGTTGCGCACTACTTCGAATCGGATTTGATCGGATTGGATCGGATCAGATCGGATCAGACATTGTATCGCGGAACTAGTTGCGCAGTGGTGCGAATCGGATCGAATCGGACAGTCGGTACCCAGACCTCGCCACGTGGTACAGGGTAAGTAGATTGTCGCTGAAAGGAAAAGAAAACCCATCGATAGATCTATCATGATTCCTTCTTTACCATGGGAGGAAATTAATAGGACGATGCGAATGGAGAAATCGAGGAATGAGAGCGTTCGTACTTTAGAAAGCAGTTGAAGTTGGGATAAGATACGGTTAAGTTAGGTTAGGTAGACACGGGCTTTTATGTTTTCAGAGACTTTTTATTTTCTACCAGGATTGGATTCTTAATCGTGATTATTATGGATTTTACGCTTCTTGCTGGTGAATTACTGAACCGAGAAGTCGAGTTTTTATATATGGTAAGTATTAATTTTGTTTTTATATAATTTCGACTATTCATTCTTTAGATCAAGATATCTAACTACGTGCGAGATGAATCAATTGGAATCCTATTTGTTTTTGATAATATTAAGAAATTAATAACATTGCATTCTTTCGAAACTATTTAACTTTTATTTGAAATTTTTTTATTATTATTCAAAGGTATGAAAAAAATAAAATTTATTTCTCAATATTCCAGTATTAAGAAAAATATAAAAAAAAAAAAAAGTTTTGCACTAAATTCTAGAATTAAATAAACTGTTCAAAAATTAAACTGTTAAAAAAAATTATAACTGCTTTAGATAACTACACAATAAGTACTTAGATAAGTATTTATTTATTTAAAAAAGGCGAAAAATTTTATCTCTTTACACTTATTAAAAATTTTTGCAAATTATATTTTCTTGATAGAAAGTTGAAAAATTGACCAAAAATTTCAATTTAATTCAAGAATTTGGCAAATAGGAATTTGACCTCATTTTCAAGAATTGACAAAATTCTTGGAAAAATTTCTCAAATGATCTTCTGTCAAGTTATATTTTCCTAATACAAAATCGAAAAATAGAGCAGTAAAAATTTTTAATCAAATATCAGATTTTATAACAGGAGAATATAAGCTGAGAAGAGGTAGTATAGAATTTTTGTATTAAAAAATATAATTTTAAAAAATGTGGAATGTAAAAATTTATTAATATTTAATGAAAACTTACCTATTTATTTATCTTTTGCACATTTATCTTTTTAAAATATCTTATTTTCAGGAACTAATCATTTTACTTAATTCTATCTAAATTATAGAATTTGATATACTTATTTGTTTGGTATCTTTTATATACTATTTAATATATTTAAGTAAATAATTTCAAACTCTGCAAGAAGAAATGCAAAATATATAGAAAAACTTATATATATAAAATATATGTATACAAAAATATAAATCAACAATAATATAATTACAAGTGTTTAATTAAATATTCCTATATGTTTGGAAAATCTAGATTTCCTTTTTTCCATTTGTCAACAGAATCTCGACCAACGTTGAAACGAAACCGCTGAAACCGGTCGGGGAGAAACTGGCCGGATGGAGTCATCGAGGAAGAGAGGATCGTCGCGATCGGGTGGACACCCCCGACGGCGCGACATTGTCTAAAAGTTGGTCGCGATGAATGAAGAAAACCGAGAGAGCAGCGGGTGCGCGGACTAGGACGAGTCGGCTCCACGCTGCGCAGGAATGCCAACTTCCATTTGGCCGCGTTCCTCGTTGGAAGACAGTGTTCTTGGCTCGACTGTCGGCCTTCTATGTTCTCGCGACTGATCGTAAAACCGATTGTTCGCTGGCGAATCGTCCAATTGTTCTTGTCGCTTTCTATTCTTTTTTTATTCTTCATTTCTTACTGTAGTAATATTTGGTATAACAGATTGTATAAACTGTCAAAAAGAATACTATGATTATATTTATGAAAATTAGAAAAAATGGAAATAACAGAAAGAAAATTGAATAATTTAAAGATTATCAGATAATAATATTGAATGAATAAGTGTATAATAATGAATTTGATTACACTGTTAAGGTTAGAAAGCAGTAATATTTGTGAGTATCACAATTAGGTTAGAAAGATTGAATAGATTAAAAAAAAAGAAGAAAAAAGGGGAAATAATAGAGAGAAAGTTAAGCAATTAATTAAAAATCGGATAATGATATATTATTGATAGAAGTGCAAATGTAATAATGAACTTGGTGCTAATTAGGTTAGGAAGAAGCATCATACGAGTATCGTAATTAGGTTAAAAAGAAGAAAAAAGAAAAAAAGAAATAGCAGAAATAACTTTTTTTTACCTTTCTTTTTCAACTGCTTTTTAACTTCATCAATTTAATCTTTTGGATTATTGTAGAGTGTCGTACATAAGGAATTTTAATAATGAAACAAGACAATGAAGATTAAATATAACAGAGAAGAAAAACAAATGTAAGAAGTATGTTGTACATAGAATAATAAAAAGTGACACAGGAAAAATCGAAAAGAGAATACAGTGAAGGAAAATGAATGGAAAAGGGTATACCGGAAGACCTGCCGCGTCCTGTTCACAGAAGTGTGCACGGATGAACTGGCCATGTAATTTAATTTAAGTTACGAGCACCGATAGCAGCCGAGCCACAAATCAATTAGAGTGGTCCGTTCTTTTGGGGTGATAGTGATAGTGGCGGCGCAGACCACGCTGTAAACATCTTTACTGCCAGATAAGTGTGCGAGCGTGTTTATATGTCCCACTGCCACGCGGCCACCCTCTTTTCCTCTCTGTCTTATCTGACCACCATTTTGTACTCTCGATTATTTCTCTCATTCGGTTATTGCTATTACTGTGGACCCATCGACTTTGCTTGACAACTTTATATTTCTTTCTCTCTCAGTTCGTGTCTTTGCTTTCTGTAAAATTTTCAATAAAAAATAGTAGTTGCTAGTATTACCTAATTTTAAAAATTTTTTAATTTTATCAAGAATAATTTTAAATATGAAAATAGAAAGCTCTCTGATGTTGCTACAATAGTAAAAGTAATAATTATATGTAGGATGTTCATTGCAAATGTCTGAGATACGATTTTTGAATGGAAGCGATTGAATTTTAAGATTATCTAAAATTTTAAAATTCTTGGTTTAATTTTAGTTAAAATTATCTAAGTTATAAATGAAACATTGTTATTTTAAGAACTACTAATATATAAATATGTAATATCTATGACGTCAAAAAATAATGAATATCTAACCTAAATCCTAGAATGAATAGTTAGAATTTAAAATAATTTCAAATGTAAAAATAATTGATAACAGCTACGATAATTCGATCAAGTTTTCATATTTTAATACATTTTGTACAAATATTCAAAGTTTGCAACTTAACCTAACAAAATTCTTATTCCCTAGCCATGCGCGACGATTCAAAAAATCTCGCAATCCTTCTGTTTCATACAGTTAATAGGTGAGAGTTAGGGATAGCGATATCTAAATGACTTTAATATATTACGATAAGAGTTGCAACTCGAGACCAGAAATACTTGTTCAACCGAATCGAATTCATGAAAATGTAACGTTCCTAAAAATAGCAGAGCGTTTAGAACTTTATTTTCAATAAGTTATGTATACGCTTACCTCGATTAATACGTATCTCTTCGTAATTCCATTTCGAAATTCTTTGTCAAATTTCATCAAACTCGATGTAGTCCAATAACACATGATCCGCATATTAACGGAAATCGTTCCGTTAAGAGAGAAGGAGAGGGAAAGTTAGATGGCGTGACGACTCGGTTATTCCTAAATAAGTTCATTATCGCCAGTTAGCAATCAGTGTCAGTCCACGGCGAAAGGTTCTGTCTAGTTAATTACCAGGACACGGTCATTTCGAGAGACGATAATTGATTTCTGTCAGTGATTGAGCCTGTCACTCTGGACACGCAACTTAATCTTCTCTGTAATCCCTATTTAACAATATTTCTTCCATGATTCTCTCTCGTGTGTACATTTTCCATGATTTTCCAGAGCTCGTATGAAATATTGGAAATATCGAAAATAATTAAATACTAATGAAGACAATATTCCTTTAAAGATATCCATTATACTTATTTAAGTACAATTTTTATTCTTTTTATTTGACATGTTTTAAACGTTTATTTTCTTAAATGAAAATTTAGAATTTATTTGCAACCGTTATAAAAAATACTCAATTCTGAAAAATGTGAAAAGTTTTATTACTAACTTATTGAAAATCAAAAATATTTTGAAATAAAAAAAGACAAATTTAATACATATTAGTTGTTATACAAACGTTACAACATAAAATACTACCTGGTTAAAGAGAAGAGGTCATTGAAACTCTATTCGTACTCATGGAACTGGGTCCACAGGACCCTGAAGTGATGGTACCCTTACCACTTTATCTACCAGTTTCCTGGTTCTAATGAAAAGAGCCAACGTCATCAAGTATCGCGTGGCTTCCGCAAACGAGATACGGCCGAGCGAGGGGACCACCCGTGTCCACGCACGGAATTCGGGGTCCACGTCCACGGACTATCTATCGTCGCGCGAGTAGGTACAAAACTGTTAGACGTGCTCGAAACTGGGCACCGAATATTCCTCTATCTTATCTGCAAAGTCGGCCAGAAAAACAACCCTCGTCGACTCGCACGACACACCATCCTCCTCTCTTCTTTTTTCCTCTTCCACGTTTTCGACATGCTCGCTTGCTGTTTTCACTCCCTTGGTGATTTAAAGTTACCAGGTAGAATTCGGCTCTCGCGAGATACGAGGACATACCTTTTCTCGACATGAAGGAAAATTTTCTGAAAATGAAACAGAGAAAACAATGGGAAAAACAAAAGAGGCTGGTTCGAGCAACATAGAGACATAGATAGTTACTCGGTCACGGATTGTCCGGGATTAGCAGAAGAGCTCCCCTCTTTCTCCAAGCTTACCGCCTCCGCCAGCCTGATCCTGCTCGTTAACCGAAATTACACGACACGTCGATCGTCCTCCGCTTCCTCTCTAGTGGGACGTTGTTAACTGTTTGACCATCTGAATAACTGGTTTCCGTTTTTTCTTCTTTTTTTTTTTTGGTTAAACGTGGGAATGGAATAGATGATGAATATGTTTTTTCTCTTCTTTTTTTGTTGTTTTTTTTTTAAGAAGGCTTTTATGTATAACAAATAGTAATGAGAGGAAAAAATACTTAAGTGAATTTTAAATTATTAGAAAAAACATTTTCTTGTTTCACTTCATAAATAAAATGGGGCCTGAAAAAGAAAAAAAAAAGCCTAAGAAAATTTTACTATAATTATAAAATTCTAATTATTTTCATTAAAGTATTGTTTTATCAGAAAAACAATAATACGTTATACCTACCCGTCAATTTCTAAAAACTGGAACTTTAATTTTTGAGATACACGATATAAAACGACCATTTTTTTTTTTTTCTACTCAACAAGAAATATCTCTTGTGTTCTATATATTCTACGATACTTTCCTGCGACAGTTAACCAGGCCCTCTTGTGCTCACACTTGCAATCCTGCGAAAGAGGTACGGTGCGTTACATAGTCCTGTTACGTACGACGGCCCGTTAGTCGATAAGGATTTCAGGTGCGATGTTACGTGCATGTCGCGGGACAATAAACCTCGCGAGGCGAGGCACGGCGGAGCCGGCTTTCCGCGGCATATCAAAATTTACGACTAAGATTAATATTCCTCTCGTGCCGGGGCACCGGTGCGCGTTTGTTCGAGACTTTTCAAGATCAAACGATACCACCATTAAATATAATTACCGCGCTCCTAAATTACATCAAATTAACGGAACGCTTCCCCTCGGCCGTGCACATTCGGAGAAGGAGAAGCTACGCCCTCGTGTTTTACGCTTCGAGCCCGTTCCGCGAACCCGTGTAACCCGTATTACCATGCCAATGGCGCTCACCAGTGATTTAGAGGCGCGGGAAAATTTAAAATAAACGGATATAATGATCGATGTAAAATAATCTAGATGTTCTAAAAACGTACATGGCAATATTCAAAAACAATAAGATAACTTAACTCGTTTTTGAAATAGTACCAACAGTGTTTTAAATTTATTAAGTATAAAAGTGCACGGACAACTGTCGCAAGATGAAGATGCTTTGAGTATCTTAAGTTTCCAATATGTACTTCAAAAATCGTTCCTTTCCAGTTTGTAGGAATCTCATGGTAAGAAAATTATAAATAATTACTTGATTAATATCCAAAAATCTAGAACTTGCTCTATCCATCAACTTAAAATTTGTCCAATACAAACCAAAGTAAATCCAAACGTTCCTCTTCCATTCTACAATTCATAAATTCCATTTTTGAAGATGTTTTGAGTTGTATCTTAAGTTTCCAATATCTGCTTCATGGTAAGAAAATTATAACGTTAAATTTAAAGAAAACTATGAATAATTACTTCACTAATATCTAGAAATCTAGAACTTGCTCTATTCAATTTGTCCAATACAAACCAAACCAAATCCGAAAATTCCCCTTCCATTCTACAATCGATCTTCATAAATTCCATTTTTATAATTCCTCGACGTACAAAAAATCGCAAAGAACTGTTCGAAGCTGTGCTACCGTGAGAGCGGTATTCCTCTGTGGAATAGTTGCTATCCATCTCCTGCCCTTCGACTCGTTCATTCACGCGCGGAAGTTCCCATTGATGGTGGAGGATCGCGGCACCGCCAAAGAAGAAGGGAAACTATGCGACACGAGGATGGCGTAACGAGGAAGGGCCTTCGCATTAATACTCGCCGAAAATTCTATTCTTTTCTTTTTTTTATAAGACACGCCGTGAGAGAAAAACGCTCGAACTCGAGGCTTCGGCGAGCTTCTAGGAGAAGAGAAAAAGCGGGCGGTCAAGGCGTTCCAAGGATGTCGCGGTCACACCTGGACGAGGTATGCACGGTTTTCGGTAGGGTCGGACAGTTTTATAGTAATTGATCGTATCTGGCTCCCGATTCCGTTCCTCCACTTCTGCTTTGTTCCCTCTGAAGTGGATGCCGGTCAATGGGGCAGTTTCGTTGCTCCTTTTTCGCAAGGAATTCGCGCGAATAAGGGCTTTCTATGAAGATGGATTCGCGGTGGGTGCTAATGGGTTTCTGAATCTGAATCTTTGTTGGAAATTATAGTTTTCAATTATTCTTCCCTTCACTATTATTTGTGATAGCAAGATATAAGATCAGGATAACAGGCAATTTGATCTATTAAATGTGGAATCCCTTGTGATTTATAAGTAGATTGCAGATTTTCATGTATGTATGTACATACATCTTTCTACTGTAAAATTTTGAGTCTGAAAATACAGACTAGAATAATTAAATAGAAGAGAAAGAAATTTATTATAAAACTATTATAAACGGCATTGTTTGTATATGTATCGTTGAATGAAAATTCACAATTTCATACGAAAAATCGTCAATCTACTTAATTTAACCCATCAGCGGTCCGCGACAAAAATCGAGCAGTTTGACGAAAGAGCAAGCGTATCAGCATCCACCACCACCGATGATGATGGATGATATAGCCTTCTCTGGGAATCAGTCTCGCGGAAGGGTCAGTCTGCGGTCACACGCCGCAAACGAGAAGCTGATCGCGCAGGTGACGCTTCCTCCACTAATCACCATCGGTTTTAGATTATTCTAAAATAATGACGAGGCCCCTTCTAGCGAATCGATGGTGACAAATCGCTGGCCACGCGGCTAGCTCCAACCGTAACCAACATCCAACGTTCCCGGCGGATGGGTCAGGGCGAAACGGGGCTCTCAGGTGTCGTGGAGACATCCTTGGAACGTGAATCGCGGCTCGACGCCCTTCTCGAATGCCACGAATTGTTCGTAACCCGGCTTGGTTGCCGCAGGAAATCCTAAATCAAGCAGCTCGATGGAAAACGTAG